CCTGGTCGCCAGCTGGGGACCCCCCGAGGCAGCTGGGAGCCGAGCAGGTGCAGGGGGTGGGGTGGCCGGCCCCGCCTCCGGACCGCAGTGCGCCCAGATGCTCGCCGGGCCTCATGTCCGCGGGGGCCCTCCCTGGCGGTCCTCTGGCCCTGCTCCGGGGCTTGGGGCCGGCGAGGGTCTGGGTCCAGGGCGGCAGTGGGCCGTGAACCCGGCTCAACTCCCCTCCCTTAGCCCAGGGGTCCTGGGCTTCTTGGCTTATCTGGGGTCTCTGCAGTGGGGACCAAGGGGGCGTGGGCTTGGCACAACTGACTGGGCAGGGATGGTCTGGACTCTCGGGGCTCCTGACCCTGAGTTCGGGGCCTCGCATCCTCCTTGAGGCCCTGTGGCAGGAGGGCCGAGACATTGGGCATCACAGGAGAAGGGACCAGCATGCAAGGGTGTGACTGGTTCGGGGGTTAAGGCCTCTTTCACAGAGCAAAGGGGGTGCACTGGTCACCAGTTCCCCGGATGGCTGGTGGGAGGGCCGAGGGGCTCAGGGGCTCACCCTTGTGGGCGCATGCGCGTGGCCCGGGTTGCGCTCTGCCAACCGCCTGCCAGGCACGACCGCGCCTCGCCCGGCGACGAAAGCCTTCGGCGTTTGGGCCTTGCAGGCTTCCTTCGCCCAACCGCAGGTGGGAGAAGCCAGTCTCCCCAAAGCTCCTGGCGCTCCCGGACCGGCCGAGAGCCAGCGGGGGGCTGGGGAGGAGGACTTGGCGCTGCAGTCCGAACCCCCTGGGAGCCAGCCCACCGGGGGGCACCCTCCACTTGCACCCCCCAAAGCCTTCCTAGGTTTGTAAGAGCTGACCCTGGGTCCCACCTGGGGGGCTCAGGGCGGGCCCAGTCGGTGGTCAGAGCATTGGCCCCGGCCGCGCCTGGAGGGCGAGGGCCCAGGCCTGCTGCCCCCAGGACACTCGGGGGGTGGCTGCGACTCCTGGGGCGCAGGGGGGCTGGGCTGCCTCCTCCCACACTCTGCCTCTGGGCCGGGGGTGCCTGGCCGAGCCTGGGTGAGGGAGGGGGCCAAACGCTGGCCGCACCTTCCTCGCCGCGGCTCCCTCCACTGCCGGCTTCGTAACAGAGGAAAAAGTGATTTAGGCAGAAGCGCCACCCGCTCCGGCTCCCAGGCGTCAATCCCATGACATCTCAAGTTTCCATCCACGGGGAGAGTGATGACTTCGCCTCTAGCATATCTCACTTCCTCCAGCCAGAAGTTCCGCAGTGTCTGGGGTGTGAAAGTGAAACGTCCCCAGCGCGGGGGCGGGGGGGGGGCAGAGCCACCAGTGGTTTCGCTTCTGGGACAAAGCGCTCACTGGGGGCCTGGGACACGTCTCGTGGCGCTGAGACCAGGCGGCTCCCCGGGGCCTCCGTTGACACCTGTGTCCCTGCTGCTTGGAAGATGGCCACCGCAGTGCCCGGAGTGACCCCCCGCTCACCCCAGCGATGCGGGGGCGCCACAAAAAAGAGGCGCTGGATCTGATCGGAAGGCCGCTGGGCTCTCTGGCGGCCGGGCTGCAGGTCCCCGAGCGAGGGCGGCCCGCGGCGTGGCTGTTGAGGGGCGCAGGCCACAGAAGTGCCACATGTCAGGTGACACTCGCCGACGCGGGGTGCGTATCACAGACAAGACACCCCTCCGGGCTCTGTCCCCCTCCTGGCCCCTAAAATCCATCCATGCATGGTTACACCAAGATTAGCTACTTGTTCAGCCACCAAAACCTGATTTTAGCAGTATGAAAACACAAGCTTTTAAATGAAAAGGAGCGATTTTCCCCAAAAAGTGCCTTATGTCGCCCCCCGCAACCCCACTGTCCAATTCTCCTCTGCTTGAAAAATAAAAATAAAAACAGAGCATGGAGGCAGGAAGCGGGTCCCAGTCTTTTCACAGATGGCCAGTTGTATGGACCGACTGGCCCCGGGGGCCTGGCGGGAGCCAATTCACCTGCTCCCCCTCTCCTGCCCGGCTGGACGCTGGCCACTGGCCACAGTCCGGGCAATGGAGAGTTCTAAAGAATGGTCACCATGTTGCCCGGCATTTCAGTTATTCCTGACTGGGAGTGTCTGTGAGGCCGCCGCCCTTTTCTGGCCTGAAAGCGGGCTGCGTGGTCAGGCCAGAAACCCAGCGGTCACTGACGGGGACTGTGTGCGTGCCGTTTGGAAATGAAAACGTTGGGGGCTTGAGCTGTCTTGCTCGGGCCACGTTTGAATGGTGCCCTGACTGCGCCACGCAGACAGAGCGAGGGGAGAGAGGACTTGGGCACCCCGGGAACGGGGCTACAGAATAACACAAGGCTTCTTGTCCTTAAAGGGGTTCTCGGAGGCTGGGACGCCGACCAGCAGGGGGTCGTTCCGGGCATGCTGCTCACAGTAACTCATGAGTTCCGCGGAGGCTTTGGAGACCTGTGTGTGGGCACAAGAACAGGAGGGAAGGTAAGAGAGGCTGTGGGCCTCCCTGGTGGCGGGGCTGGGTCTCAGGCTGTCACCACCACGCCCCGAGTTTGATCCCCGGCCAGGGAGTGACCCACAGGGAGCAGCAGGCCTCACCTGTCTCCCCGCTGCTCCCCTCAGCAGTGGGTTTCAGTGGATCTGCCTGTTCTGCTCCCCACTCCGTCTCTGGTGAGTCCTCTCACCCCCCACACCTCTGGCCTGTGCCCCAGTTTTTGGGTACATAAATACATAAACCTTTTTTTTAAAGAAGGGATGACGGTCCTATGTCTGCAGCAGATGGCCAGGTCAGCCAGAAGGCGGACACACCCAATGTGCCCCCACCTGGCTCAGCAGCTCTGCACTCGAGACCACGGGAGAAACCCAGACACAGACACATGGGCCACGCGGCCTGAGCCCACTGACGAGAAGTGTCCGGGACAGGCGCGGCTGCTGTGGGTTCGTGGTGCCGGGGCTGGGTGACTGCTGATGGAAGCAGGGCTTCTTCTGGGGGTGGTGGAACGATCTGGAGGCAGGAGATGGGGGTGCCTGGGCCTCACCTCCGGGCGGAGTGGTCTCCTCAGGAAGGCCTCCCTTTGTCAGGGGTCCCCCCTAGGGCGGACAGCGGGGCAGGGTTGGGGAAGCTAAGGCAGGGCTGAGAGCGGGGCTGAGGGCGCTCCTGGGGCCTGCCGTCTGGGGTGCCCACACCCCAGCTCCGAGGCGCCCAGCCCGCCTCCGCCACGCTGGGCCGCAGCCTCTGCCCACCCGTAGACTTGGTTTCTGGAGTCCTGTCTGTAAAGCGGCGCTCCCCTCTCGGACGGCGAAAATAGTCTCCGCACCCTGGAAATAGCTGATGAGGGGCTCAGCGTGGGCTTGGCCCAGGCCTGACAGGAAGGCTCTGGCCGGGGCGCCGGGGACCTCTCTGCCCCCCGCAGGGCGGCTGGCCTGGTAGATCTGATGCTCTGGGCTCGGGGCGGGAACGGGCACGTCCTGACGTCCCCCATGCCAACTTTCGAAGGTACACCGGGGGGCCCCTCCTGAACCTCAAGGGGCAGGTGAGTCAGGCTGCCGCCGGGCCGCTGGCCCCGCTCACGAGATGAAAGCCACTTGGGCTGGGCTTTCTCCTGCTCCAGCCCCAGCAATGCTCTGCGCGCCCAGAGATCTGGAACATTCCGACAGCCTGTGGGGGCCTCCTCCTCTCCTGGCTGGCGGGTCAGACCTGCTCCCACTGCCTCAGCCGCCCGACCGGCCGGTGCCACCCTGAGGACCCGCCAGGAAGGGCAGGTGCCGGGGGTGAGGTCGGAACAGAAGCACAGGTGAGGGGTGATTTATGACGGAGCCCAGAAGCTTGTGCGCGGATGTGTGGGTGCAGCGTTGGATGAGGCTGAGCTGTAAATGAGGGGACCCTGGGCAAAGCGGTTGCCCCGTGACTGCGCGGGGCCTCCGCTCCAGCCGGAGGAGAGACCAAGGGTCCTTGAGCGGGAGCAATTCTGCACCTGCAGCCCCCACAGCTGTGGGGCTCTGCTCCCCGCTGAGTCTCAGGGGGAGTCCCTGGGGACGCCGCCCCTGACCACACGTTGGAGGCCTGCAGGCCAAGGGGCAGGAGCGGGCACAACCGGGGTCTTCCTCCCCCAGGAGCTGCAGGCCGGCCGCAGGGGCCGGGTGGGTGGTCACGGCGCTGCGCGGGTCAGTGCAGTTGCTCTTCTCCAGCGGGAGGCCGGGCTGGCCGCTGGTTCTCGCTCCTTGCAAGGGGCAACCTGTGAGTCCGATGAGCTGATGTCCTCTGTGGTCTTCAAACTCACCTACACACGCATCGTGTGTGCCCCACATGGGAGCCCGCAGCCTCGGCAAGGGGGCAGCTCCGACCCTCCCACCCGGGGGAGGGGCCTGAACACAGCCGCTGGGGAGCGAAGTCGGACGCCGGCGGCCAGGCTGAGTCTGCTGGCGAGGGGCGTCCGCGAGGGCGCAGCCGCGGGCAGAGCGGGGCTCATGGTGCAAGCGACTGAAAGAAACTGCCGGGCTGACGGCCATCACCGTCTCACTCTGCTTCGCGTGTTCCTGGGCCCGGCAGCTTGAGCATCTCTGAGCAGGGCTGCTGCGCCCCCCTGAACCCCCACCGCTTTTTTTTTTTTTTTTTTGCATAAAAACACAGACACGCTTATTTCTAAAAATTCAAGCAACGCAGAGAGCAGATCACGAGAAGTCTGGGCCCCGCCTCTACCTGTGACTGTCCATGCCAAGGGAGAGAAGGCGCCCCCAGGCGGCCTTCTTGGCTCCCCGGGGCAGGGCCCGGCCGGGCGAGCCCCCCTGGCGCTGGGGAGGCCATGGCGGGGGCCTCGCCTCAGGAAGGCGGCTCAGCCAGCTCCCCTCGAGGAGACCGAGGGGCAAGTGGCACAGACAGATGCAGGCAGGGTGGGGCCCCGCGCTCCCGCCGCCCCCGCCCCGCCCCGCGGTGCGCCCGCCGCCGCCCGCTCACCTTGATGCGCTCTACCCCGGCCTCGATGCGGAGCTGTTCCACCAGCTTCCGGGCCTGGGCTATGTTGTTAGTGGCTGACATTGTCTGCCATCAGCTCTGGGCCGCGTCGTCCAGAGAGCTGCGGGGGGAGCAGAGGGGTGTGAGCTGACTCGGAACTCCAGGGCGGATAGCTGGGGGGTGTCGGACGCCCCCTGTGGACCCCTCCCCATGCTGGGCCGTCCCCTGGGGGGCTTATCCTGGGAACGTGGGGTGCCGAGCAACACGCTGCCCCCACCCCTTCACCAGGAGCGCCCACTCCTGAGGACCACGCAGCCCCTCCCCCAGATGACCACAGCGGAGGCAGTTACCTGGGACACTGCTTGGGGTGCTCGTGTCCCCTTCCCACCAGGGCCTACTTCCCCCCTCCCTCTCTGTTTTCTTTCTCCCTCTGCAAACTGGCACAAAGAACGGCGGACGCCATGGGCCATGGTGCTGACCGCCATTGTGTCCAGTCAGTGGTGCGTGTGTCCGTGGGGGCCACTGGGAGGCCCTGGACGCAGGTGCTGGCTTAGACTTGCCTGCCAGGCTCCGGGCCGCCTCCCCGCCCGGCTGGCTGGTCTGGGCGCTCACCCCCGGCCAGGCCAGGCCAGGCCAGGCTGAAGCAGCAAGCGTCGCTCCTGGGAAGGGCTTGGAGGTGTGGGGCGAACCGCAGGGAAGGGAAATTTTTTAAAAAAGATTTATTCATTTATGCCTGCAAGAACTGGAGTACAGGCCAGAGGTGGGGGGGTTGAGAGGAATCACCAGAGACAGAGCAGGAACAGAACGCGTAGACTGACTGACATCTACTGCTGAGGGGGGCAGCGGGGCGTCAGGAGAGGTCTGCCGCGCCCTGGGGGTCGCCCCCTGGCTGGGGGTCGGGG